CCGGCGACATTGTTTTGAGCAAAGTTTCAAGCTTTTGATTCCGTTTCTTCTCCCGAGTGCATGTTGGAGTGGGTAACTTAGTCTTAAGCCCCATTACCTCGTATATATTTCTTGCTTTGGTAAATTGATATTGTGCTTGAGATTTTGGAAGAAAAGATTGTTGGTTTGGATCATGAATGTTTGACTAAGTGTGGTAGGAGTTGAATTCTTGCTCGATTCATGCTAGAGTTTGATTTGACTTCCTAGGGTTTTTAGCGAACATGGCAATGGTTGGATTTTTGCGTGCTTTTGATCATGATGACTCCGGTGAACCAAAATCTCTCTTTCCCCCTTGATCGCTCTAATCTTCTTGTGTGCTTTACTTGCTTTCGATTTCAATTTCTAGATTAGCTTAGCTTAAATCAACCCTCAATTCATGCGATTAGCATGTTTAAGATGTTTTCGTTTGTGTGACTTTGACGACTAGGTAGTAACCGAAGCTCCGAATAGCCTTCCTTTGAGAACGACCCATGCTTTTGTTGGTCAAGCAATGAGGGCATTGCTTTGTTTTAAGTGTGTGGGAGGGGTTTGCGTGATTATGCATGCTTTAGGCGTATTTTCTTTTCGTTTAGTTGTGTCATGGACCGGTTTTGTTTGTTTTTGTGTGTTTGTGTCGATTTCCCCATATGAGAATTGATGTGAGTCCAATTGCTCGGAATGACTAAGTGGCTAGATTGGATTGTCGTTTGTGTTCATTATTTACTCCCATGCTTTATGCACTCAATGATTTTGACGGTTTTTATAAAATGAAATGATTATTTGTTGGCATTGGAACTCGCCCAACAGTGCCCATCTTTTGTGCGTTAAGCAAGAGTACGCTCGTTAGGACAAGTCTTGATCGGGGCACCTGAGGAGGGGTAGGGCAGCCGAAGGGACGATAAGACGCCCTTTTGCTGGTTTTTATTCTATAGTATTCTACTATGAAACGATTTTTTTGAAAAAGTCTTGGCATGTGAATTCACGAGACTTTCTTGTCCTTTGTTTGTTCTTCATTGAGGATCTCGATCATGCTTGTCTTATGTTCGATTGTTGATTAAACGTGTTATGCTATCCACTTTGTGTACGTCATGATTAAGTTGTGATGATTATGATTGTATTCGTGATGTACCTTTGTGTGCCACCCCCTAAAAAAAAAAAGAAAAAAGAATAAAAAGTGAGTTCGCGAGGAAGTATGGATTAGGCTCCTCTTATTCCGAGCCACATAGTGGATTGGGATAATGAACCCGGGAAACCGGTCTAGGAAACTCGAGGAAACCCCTCGAGGTTAAACCTAGGGAATCTCGTCCGGAAACTTCGTTTGAAAAGAGAAGCTCACGAAATGAGTTCGTGGGAGTCGGAAGGACTAGGCTCCTCTTGGCTCGGTTAATCTTCTAGATAGATCGGGTCAATGAGCACGGGAAACCGTCCTAGGCGACTCGGGAATAACCCCCGAGGTTAAACCTAGGTAATAATCGTCCTAACGGCTTCCATTTGGAAAAAGTGACTCATTAAAAAAAATGAAAAGAAAAATGGGGGTTGGCTTATGGTCTCGATTTTATTATCCTATACATTGAGTAGACCGTTTTGAGCTTTTTACACGTGTTTATTGTAGAAGGTAGTTTGCATTGAGTAAATCATGATTGAATAACTTGGGACTTGTTTTTGTTTTGTTGGATTCACATGTGGGAACCATGCTCTCGAGTTTGAATTTTATTTTGTAAATAACCGAGTGATTAGGAGAGTACATAATGCATGTTTGTTGATCTTGGACCGCTCGATCTCTCCTTTCAACACTATTTGTTATTTTGTTTGCTTGAAGACAAGCAAAAAGCTAAGTGTGGGGGAGTTGTTTGTTATGTTTTTGTGCTTATTTTTAGGTGTTTATTTGTGTTATTGAGTCGGTTCTAGGTTCGTTTTTGAGTCGACCGGTCCATTTTGTCGCTTTTTGTGTGATTTTATGTTTTATCTTTTATTTTGTATTTTGGCGTACTTTTCCGTATTTTTTGGGTTTAATTTTTCAGGTTCGTTTCGAGGGCGAAAGGAAAGAGTCGAGCTAATTTCCGAGACGAGCTTTCCAAAGTAAATTTCGAGTACTTGGAGCATTTCGGGCGAACCATCATCAATCGAGTATATCGCGTCCTTAGTCAACGCCCAAACGCTGCCCCGTGACCGCACACGCACTCGCGCGCTCCGCACTACCGCTGTCCAACGCCCAGCAGGACCCGCGTGCTCGCGGATTGCAGC